GTGCTTTGTGTGCTTGCTTGTTTTGTTTGTTGCCTTGTTGTTTAGCTAGTTTGTTAGTTGGTGTTTCAGTTAGTAGTTTAGTTCTTAGTTGTTGTCTAGAAGTTGGTTGTTGTGTTGAGGGTTAGAGTTCTTGATGCCCAATCTATCCGTTTGTTGACCTCTTGCCAATCCTTGAATTCGTAATGTCTTTCTCTTTGCCTTGGAACCTTGTGAGAACTTTTGGAGTTTTTGACCAAAAGGGATATTCATGGACATCTTGTCACAATTTTGTTTCCTTGTTACCTTTCGTTCTTAATTCGTTGTACCCAAGTTTCGGGGACAAAACTTCTTTGGAGGGGGAGAGGATGCGACACCCCAAAAATTCACACTCCAATCCATGAATTAATTGAGTAACTATTACTATTTCTTTTGAGGAATTGATTCCTAAAATCCTGATTTTTTGATACTCAAGGACTAGTATTTGACTAGTCAATCTTTAAGTGGTGTTGTACCTTGTGCTTTGAGAGGAGTTCCCGTGTTCCTTACACTTTTTAAGAGTTAGTAAGGGTATCCTTGTCTTTTCACCAAGAGCTAGTTTTGTAACCTAAACCTAGAAGACTTCTTCATTTCATTCCCTTACATTCCCTAGAAAATATCTCTACCTTCTCTCTAGAATAGAAGAGTAGCTTGTTCTTCAAGCCAAAAGAAGCCTTTGTCAAGATTCCAAGTTTTGCTTTCAAGATTCAATCTTTCCTCTATTTTGGCATCTATAAGGGTAAGATCTAAGCTTGTCTAGTCTTTTTGGTTCCATCTTAGTTGTCTTTTTCTTAAAGGTTGGATCTTTATGATCTTTTGATTTGATCTTGAAGTGGGTTTGGCTAGTGAGCTTAGTGGAGATCTTGTTGTGGTGTAAGAAGAGTCTTTTGGTCTTCAAGAGGTAACCCATGCTCTACAAAACCTATTTTGCTTACCTATATATGATTTCTTGGCTTCTATTTGTGTTTTGCTATGAAATGTGAGAGTTTATGCATTTATCTTGTGATATTGCATATCTAGACCTTGTGTTTAGGATTCCTTTGTGCCATTGCTTGGCATTTTCCTTGGTTCAAGTCATTTTGTTGTGTTTGGTGAGATTTGGCATGTTTTGGACTTGAATTTGTGTTTGGAGGAGAAAATCCCCGAAGGGATTTGTTGTGGTACAGGGGCGTACCCGCGGGCGGAACGGCGGGCGGGGCACCACCCGCCGGCCTACTCGCAGGAACGTGTTGCCTTGTGGGTGTTGTACCCGCAGGCGGGACCACGGGTGGGGCACTACCCGTGGGTCCACCCGCAGGGAACACAATGGTGTTGAGATGGGATTTGTTCCCCATGATTTGTTTGTCTCGGTCTTTGATCTTTTGGCCTCCCGATGTTCTTTTGTGGAACTATTTGAGCGTCTTCTTGATGTTTCGTAGGTCTAGAGCTTTATGGTAGGTATCCATGTAGGATCTTTGGTGTTGTGTATCGTGCTAAGTGTTCAACATTGTGTTTCGTTGAACCGTGTGGTGTCTTGTGTGTTCCTCGGAACTATCTTGAGTTTCCCCGTTGTTGAGCTTGCTAGTTATTATCTTAATGCTAGCGTCGTTTTTGTCGTTGGATGGTGACCCGTCTCTTGATTGAGTATGTTTCTTACCTCTTTTGAAATCCGTTGCTTGTTTCGTGTGAGTGGTGGTGCGTGTGTGGCTCTACCTGGATTGCACGATTAGTGGTATGGGATGCTAGTCACCAAGGTATTACAGCGGTTCTCGTGGTGGCCGTGATGTGATTATGGAGTTGTGGCTGAGTCCACGTGATTGGGGGATAACATTGTGTTATCCGGGCATGTGTTGCTGTGAATTGCTGGGTTTTCGTTGGTGGTTATAGGTGGGGGACGACGGTCCCGGCGGAATAAGGTTGGACTTGGCTGTACAGGGGTTTTCCGGAGGTAATGGTTGGCTTTGAAGGTACAAGGTTGGGGGTAGCCATAAGGTTGGAACAGGGCATAAGGAAGGCATATCAACTCGTGATGGGTGATGTCACGAGAGCTTGTGTAGCCGTGTGGTGAGTTCTCTTCTCTCGTGACGTGTGTAGTCACGGAGTCTTGTGGTGTTTTGGCATGTGTTGCCGTTGGGTGAGTCTTTATCCTTGTGTGTGGTTAACCTTTGTGGTTGGGACGTGTTCCCGGTGTTATCCTTGTGAGTGGTGAGTCTTGTGTTGTCTTTTGATCTTGGCTTTTGACTTATATATATGTATTCCGTTTCGAAAATGGTTTTCATATTATATATCTACTTATTTATGATACTTAACGGTATTGGTGGGTTACCAGCATCTTCCGCTGACCGGGCGTCGCCCCGATGTTTATCTTTGTATCTTTCAGGCGATGCGTAGTCGAGCGCGATGTCTAAAGCCGGTAGCTTAGCACCTGTATCTTTAGACAGTGTTGTTGAGGCCCGTGTGCCAATGTCTTTAGATTGTTCTAGTTTGTTGTTTTTGGGATAGTGATACACTTGCAGATTGTCGCCGTAGCGTATGCCAAGTGTGGTATACGTGGCATAACACCCCGTTTTGGATTCCTTTTATCCAGTTATCTTTCTATCTTCCGCTGTGCTAGTGTTTTGTTGTTAATCTGCATGTGTTAAGACTTATTCTGCATGAGTGTTAGTTTAAAAAATTGTAAGTATTTGTTTTGCATTAATTAACTAAAAGTTTAAACTAATAGTTAGATCGCACATTTAATTTTTAGGAATAAGGTTCAAATTGGCCACTGAGCGTAACCTGAAAATGCAATTAGGCCACTGAACGAAAAAAAAAAAAGTGCAATTAGGCCATTGAACACTCTAAATGTATGCAATCTCACCGGATAGCAGGTTACTATCAATTTTAGCAGGTTACATGCTTACGTGGCAGCTGAGTTGGCATTTTTAATAATTTTTAAATAATTTTTAATAATTGATTTTACTAATACATTTTTTAAAATTGAAAAAAATTAAATAATAAAAAAAAAACGACCGGCCACCCTGTAGTTTTTTTTTTTAGTTTTTATTTTTTAAAAATTTTTTATTATAATTTATTAAAAATTATTTGAAATTTATTAAAAATGCCAACTCAGCTGTCACGTAAGCAGGTAACCTGCTAAAATTGATGGTAACCTGCTATCAGGTGAAATTGCACGTTTTTGGAGTGTTCAGTGACCTAATTGCACTTTTTTTTTTTTTTTTTCGTTCAGTGGCCTAATTGTATTTTCTGGTTACATTCAGTGGCCAATTTGAACCTTATTCCTAATTTTTATATATTATTATATGCTCAACAGTACGATCATATGCTTTTATCTAACAAACACATTGTGTGTTGATCGTTTGGTAAAACTTATATAATCGAATAATTGATATTATATATTGAATAACTTTTTTTTTTTACGTTTTTGGCAAAATTATGAATTATTTATTGTGCAATAGTTAACTATATATAAATAACTTGAAGTTGATTATGGATTATTAACGATTATTTAATATAACTAGTATTTGCGCCCGTGCGTTGCACAGAATGAATTTGTTATTATATTTTAAAAATATTTAGATCGATATACAATTGTATAAATTATAATATCGAATATTATATAATATAATTGAAGAATTGAGTTGCACCGATTATGTTTTCTGATGTTATCAATACTTGAATTCGAGTAAATAATTGCCTAATTAATAGCTAACGTGTAGATATACGCATTCGGTGCTGCAACTTTAGAAATTTTATATATCAGTGTTTAGAATTTGTATAATTGCGCTAATTAGCTAGTTGTCTAGCAACTCAGTTATATAAATTATTTATACGAAAGATATATTTTCTATGTAGATATATAGCAATTTTGTCATCTTTGTATATAACCAAAAAATATATATATATATATCGATGGCTTGAATTATACATTATTGAAAATCTTTTTGTAGCCGACATTGGTAGTAGTAACAGAATTTTATCCATCACCGTCTAGAGTTAAAACCATCAGGATGGATGACTCGGGAAAAAGTTACATACAATTAACCGTGATTAAAGACTGGTTTTTTCAGTAATAATTCAACGTGAGTTAGTGTTTGACCCTGACTTTTGTTGATAGTCATGACATATGCAAACATCAACGTGAATTGTTTTTGTTAGAACTTGAAGCGAAATCTCGTATCATAAGGGTGTTAGACATTAAGATTTTACTTTTATTAATAGTATATAGATATAGATTGGTGTAAATAATAATTAATAAATCATTATTTCCTTATAAAATTACATAGATTTTCAAATGGATTTTCTCATTTATTAAGCAGAATTTGTTTCCGTTATTCTCACAATTATAATGATTTAATTATTCACATAATTTGATAACCATTTTCCAGTTTTAAGTACACTAGTAGTTGCACCCGTGCGATGCACGGCTATATATATACTGTGTATTATATTAAGTATAATATACTTAGATGAAAAGATATAGATTTTTAGCACTTAATAAATTTGTAATAATGAATTTATAATTTTTATTGGACGTTATTGAATTCTTTAATACTCTGTTTGTTGAACCCACTGCGATGCAAAGGTACGTATATATTACATAGAAAAGCCGTATAATATAATAATAAGAAGAAAAATACAATTGCTAACCGAAGGAAAAATAGGAATAAAACATTGCGTATGTTATTATACATTGTTGAATACTTCATTGTACACAACATTTTTAGTCGTACTAAGACATGGTACATTTTCACCACAAATCAAAATTTTCAAACCCCTTGGGCTACTAACTCTTGAAACCGCTATGTACAATTGTCCATGGTTAAAGACAGGTTTTTTCAACAGCAATCCCACTATAGAAAGTGTTTGTCCTTGACTTTTGTTGATTGTCATGGCATAAGATAGCATCAACGGGAATTGCTTCCGTTGAAATTTGAAAGGCAATCTTGGATCTGACGGTGTCAGTGACATTTTAGGAATTAATACTCTTGTTCCAGCATTTGTACCGCACATGATCTTGCCTTCCAACACGTGATCAGCTAACCTAGTAACAATCAACCTTGTACCGTTACATAATCCGAGTGTGTGATCAATATTTCTCAAGAGCATAACAGGTGACCCAACTTTCAATGTCAATGCATGATTTGGTACTCCAGAACATCTAAGGCCATTCAAGAATTCGGGAGTGTGCAAATCTACTAACCTATCAACATTTGAATCTGATTTACAAACTGAATCACAACTCAAGTATGTCTTTCCCTCAGCCGGATTATGGTCATTCATGTATTGGTTAATGCTATCTACGACATCCAATGTTGGAGCCAAAATTGCACTATCATTGAGGTATGACAGATCACCCATCCCTTGTCTAAAATTCGGGAAGGTGCTATCAACAATTGTGGCAATAGGGTCCTCCTCGCACTCTAGCAATAAATGTTCAGGAACTGTAATATCTGACCCACCATCAAATTGAATACCAACCGTTCCGTCACCTATATTAGCTATCCATTTTGCAAAGTCCTCGATCTCTCGACACTCTATTTGTGATTGTACACTTCTTAGTCGTAGATTCTTAGTCAGCCGCAATACTTTGCAGGATTTCCATAAATAGGAGGAGCTAATGCTTGCACGGACAATATCTTGTCTTGTACCCTTCGGAATGACTGGTAAAATCTGTCTGAAATCCCCACCTAGCACAACTGTTTTACCACCGAATGTCATATCATAGCTCCTTGGATTTTTGAAACGCATCAAATCCCTCATAGTTCGATCTTGGGCCTCAAAACAAAATTTGTGCATCATTGGAGCTTCATCCCATATGATCAACTTGCTTTGCACAATAAGCTCTGCTAGTTGACTACTGTGACTGATGTTGCAAGTGGAATCTTCATTAACAGATATCGGTATGGCAAATCGAGAATGTGTAGTTCTGCCCCCTGGTAATAAAAGCGACGCTATACCGCTGGATGCAACATTTAACACTATTTCTCTTTTAGACCTTAATGCGGAGGACAATGCACGCCACAAAAACGTCTTTCCAGTACCTCCGTAACCGTAAACGAAGAATAACCCTCCAGCCTGGCCATCAATATCGGTTAACACCTCATTGTATATGACCTTTTGCTCATCAATTAATTGCCTTACCAACTCCTGGTTCTCTTTCTCTTGTTCCACACAGTCGTATGCTAATTCCTCTTGTATAAACCTGTTTGATATAATATTTAATGCAGTACAGTTTGCAGTAGGCATTTCAGGATAGTCCTTCAAACTCTTCCCATGAATAGATAATAGTTTTTCAATCTCCACTAAAGCAAAGTTCATCTTGTGCGAATCGGTCAACACAAAATCTGCATAATGTTATATAACATTTAAAATTTAACATCCCTATATTTAAGTTAACTTTATATGGTGCTAGCAATATAAGAAAAAGTAGTTGTGGAATATATGAGTACCTCTATTGTGCAATTGTTTGCGGACCTAGAATTGTGCATCATCTGACAAATGTGGCCACACAACATACCAAACGATTTCCGGTTTACCCATGCAACTGCTCATTAGCAATGTAACAAATAATCTCCTCAGTTGATCAGCTGACGCCCAATGACTGGCTTCATATATTGCATCAACATATTCGTTATCATCATCAACTAAACCTCTGGCATAACACGCGTCTCGAAATGAGTTATAGTGGACACCATTTACAGTCCTGATATCTTCATAACTTGTAGGTCCACGTATTTTATTCAACAGACACCTCAAATAAAATATTTCGCCAGTAGCTGGGGGAACATAAAATATCCGACTAATTGAGAATCCTTTTTTCCTTGGCTGCCATTTTCGGACATCTTTCTTCTAAACGAATTTTGTGGGAATTTCAACATAAGTAAGCTCTCTTGCATCAAGGGAAGTTTTATTCGCCTCAAACCATTCTAAGAACATGCTATGTGCTATTGTTGGTCTATTTACAATGTTTTCAACAGGATCATCATCTAAAAATATCACACTCTGTTGATTTGGAAGGTGAAAGCTTAACCTTTCAACTGAAGGAGCCCTAAGCTGTATATCAAAACCAAACAAACGCCATATTGCTTCACATGGTGATATGTACCTACAGTCGTAGTACATATTGATCTCATCTATGGCTTTCCCCTTCTCTTCATCACTGGTTGTCTTGTAGAATTCTGCAGGTACTCTGTCATGACCCTTGTTAACGTACTTGAACAGGTAATTGATTGAGCGTGACTGGTTGCACCACTCGACATTTATATGAGCCTTATACTTAAGCAATAAATGTCTATTGTGTGGTACAACATACCTGTTGTCCAACGCGATCCCGTTTTTTGTAACTATATTGCCGTTGTCTCTCCTTCTATATACCGGGTAACCATCGGCATCAAATGTAGAACTCTCAACAAATCTCTTAGGAAAATGTTTTGAGCATCGTGCATTTACCATACAGGGAGAATTGGTCCTTGCTTTTCGACATGACCCATGCATCATAAATTCCTCTACCGCTTTGTAATATTGTACATCTGTCTTTTCATCTGGTATCTCTGCAAAAATTATCTTATCTAGAGTAACAACTTCACTAACGTCCTTATTCATTTTCAAAATAATCAATATATGAGCATGCGGAAGACCTCGCTTTTGGAACTCAATTGTATATATAACTGGCACAGAAAATCAAAAACCAAATAAATGGATGGTAATTTTTCTTAATTGTAAACACATGAATGTGAAATGAAACTAAAATATTACCTCCGGCCACAGAGCCAAAAAGTTTATTCTTTCGACAATCAGCTAGCAAGGAATCCAACTTCATCTTGAACAAACGGCAGATGATGTCAGGTCGGTCTTCGGCTTTCAACCTGCGATCTTTTAGAAAACGTTGTACCTCAGGCCACTTTGGATTGCATGTAAATGTTATAAATAAATCGGGATAACCAATCCATCTACATATTGCCATGGCATCTTGATAGTTTTGTATCATGTACCGGGCACCACCTGTGAAACTTGAAGGGAGTATTATTCTTCGACCTTGTGCTGCAGGGTTGACTTTACCCCTTGTTAAAGCGTCAGTCAACCCACTGTATGATTCACATCTTAAGCTTTTTTGATGTGTCCTGATATAAATGAGTCTTCCGGACTCCACCATCGTGTATCCATCTACCACAAACTGTTGGAACAGGCGCTTTGCAAATAGCAATGTACTGGGAGCAGAATCTCTTGTCTGTAATCGATAGCAAAAATAATCCCTGGGGCTAATCCTCTGTCTACCACCAGCTGAACGATTGCTATGTACGTTAGAGAATGCAATGTCTTCCCGATATCCATTGATGCGTAGTATATTTGCAAACAAATAATTCTCGGAGTACGAGTTATCGATCCACAGGGAAGTGGTTGTATCAAGCACTAGTTACTAACTTATTCATTAGAGCTAATCCTAACAATTACTTAGATGATTGATTGGCATAAAATAAATAAAATAAAACAGAGGTTCAGGATTTTGAAAACAATTAGAGAGAAGTTGAGATTCATGGGATTCAAGTATTTAATCACCTAGTGCCAATTATCGTTTGCAATATTTAGTTTGGAATTAAGATTTGTGTGGGAATGCAAAGTGGAATCGAATTACTCCCGTAATCTCTATTCCTAGTGAATTTCCACTCCCATGGCTTAAACACCCAATAAGATCAAAGATCAGCATTCAATTATTCCTAATTACTACCATCTCCCGATTGGCAACAATCTAGAATAAACTTCCCCTAATAAGTTCCCCTTTCCCAAGGACCAACCATTAGGTGCAATCGTGTGTGCCCTAATTTATGCCCCAACTCCCATTGGTGACACAAACATGGCTATGAAGCTAGTAATTATGGCCATTAATTACAAGCATCAAACAATATTATCACGATTGCAACACAAGTATTAAACCCAAATAATAATATATTAAAGAAACTGAGAGCTCAGGCACATAGGTTCATAAACACTTTTACCCAAGAATCTCTAAAGAATTTAGCCAAGCATGACTAAATTATACATAGCAAATATAAATAAAGAATTACAAATCATCAAAAGAGTACAAGAATTAACCAGACGATTTTCCCAAATCTCACTAGTCTTCTTCTTGCTTTCCAAGACAACTTGTGGCTCTTGATTTCTCTCCTTCTTGTCTCCAAGAATCTCTGAATTCTCTCGGTCCTCCCTCTTAGGGTTGAGGAAGGAGGGATTTTATAGTGGGTACAAAGTTGAGATGAAATAGGAATCTTGTACCAAATTGGACTCAAATTCTAATTCCTATATTTAAATAAAGAAATTGCCGTCTTTAATGATATTTAGAATTTGGAAGATTCCTTGAATTGCTAACTTTTAATATGGAGATATGAGCCTTGAAATCCGTGCAATTGATATTAGGAAAAGAAATCTCGCGCTTGTATTGAATTTTGCCCAGCTGCGCCACTTTAGGCGTCTGTTTTTATCCCAGAAATAGATGCCTATTCTCTCGACGCGTCGAGAATTTTCTCCACGCGTCGAGACTTCCTGTGCGCGAATTAGTTAGCTACTGGAAAATTTCGACGCGTCGAGCCAAGGGCTCGACGCGTCGAGTCCACTGGGCCCCGAACGCATCCAAAATTGCTCCAAACTCATCCTTGAACTTCCCTTGCTCATAGAATTGACCTACAATGGTTCAAAAACACTAACAAACACCGTAAAACATTCAAAACAAGTACGAACCATAATTAAATGACAATAGCAAGGAAAACCTGTATTAAATAAGCAAAATTAAAGAACTTAATTACTATGATGATTCAAAATAACCATAAAAACAAGCACAGATGTGATAACATCATCCATCTTCACCATATGGAAACAACAGGGGGTATTGTAGTGGGAGGTATATATGAAGGATTTAATTCACTAATTCTTTGCAATTGCCCACCATTAGCTTGAACAACAATATCACGCTCACCAATACTGGTATCCAGATCTCCAACTATTAAAGCTGCTACTTCGGACACTTGAGGCAGATTGTATGTCCTTGCATCTTTAGTGCGTTTCCCCAATAACTTTATTTTGACTTCAGCGCATGAGTTACTATCAAGCTCAGATCTAGCCATCCGAAATGACTTAACCAAAACATTATTTTGATCCAGCTCCTTCTGAAGCACATTCACTATTTCTACATGAATGTCATCTTGATCAGCTCTACCCCTACAATAACGAAACAATGTATTGCTAAGCAAGTAGATAAAACCTCGCACTGAAAGAGGAAAAACAGCTTTAGGATTACCTCACAGCATTTATACGGTTGTTCTTTTCATTTGTCGTATCGTATATGTACAACTGAGCAAAATGTGGTTCTTTACCGTCTTCTGGTAGGAGACTACCCATTAAGTGATAGTTTTGTCCACTTAATCTGAAAACAGGTGGTGCTCCTCCCTTGTTCAAGCTCTTGTCTATTTTTCCGCCCATTGATGTGAAGCAGAACATGTTGTTGTATGTTCTAATGTTCTGTAGGAATTTTTTTGATAATTCATCAGTGCCGAAAAATAGATCAAATATACCTTCAGGTGGCAACGTATTCTCCTGTAACTTAATCTTCCCATTGTTGCAGCACAATGAAAACATCGGTGAACCTTTAATGGAATAGTTTTTCTTCCTTTCCTCGAACCAAAACAACGCCCCACAATGGATACAACTATTGGTTGCATCACCGAAATCACAATACTCTTCTGCAAACAAATTGTTGTTTAAATAGTCGTCCATAAAAAGTGTACATCAATCGTAGGTATGAAACGTAGCCATACATACCATGCGCATGACCAGAGGATGTTCCGGTATCGAAGTTATGCATTTCATCGTCAATCGCTATGTTTAAATCTGTATACGAACAAAAATAATATAAATGACTATTAAAATGTGCAAGCGTTAAATTTGACTCTGCTAGCATTCGTTACTAAAAGATGCAGGTCCTAAGAGTACCTGGTATGCCATGGTTGGGCATTTGGATCCGTAAAGGGATAGATTCCTCTTCAAAAGCTGATAGCAAGTCTCTTTGACTTGCATGGTCTTCTTCAATTGCAGAATCATGTAATGTTTGACGCATTGGTACTTTATGTGATGATCTACTACCTATATTGAACGTAATAATACAATTAACCAATATATTTTACTTTAAATTTTTTTGACATTATATAACGTATGAATCTAGGACGTTACCAGTTAAGCAAGACGGTTGTATGGTTGATGATTTTTGGCACTCTCTAAATAAAAATTCCTGGCAATTACTTGCCAGTAAGTGTCTTTTGGAATAACCTATGGTAAACATACATAATATTTAACGGAAAAGATCTATAATATAGTCATAATACAACTAATTCATTTGACCAAAATATTGTACAAATATATTTGTCAAATTATAGGTATGAAACGTGTCCCTACATACCATGTGCATGAACATATGACGTTCTTAAATCGGAGTTTTGCGTTTCATCGTCAATCGCAATGTATAAATCTGAATATATAAAAATTAATATAAATGACTATAAATATATGCAAGCGTTCAATTTGAGTTTAGTATAATTCGTTACTAAAAGATGCAGTTCGTAATATTACCTGGTATGACATGATTGGGAATTTGGAGACGTAAAGGGACAGACTCCTCTTCAAAGGCTGATAGCAAGTCTCTTTGAATTTCATGTTCTTCTTCAATTGCAGACTCATGTATTGTTTGACGCATATGAACTTGATGTGGTGATCTACAACCTATATTTAAAACAATAATCAAATTAACAAATACATTTTACTTTTAAATGTTTTAAGATTATAATAGAGATATGAGTCTAGGACGTTACCAGTTAAGCAAGACTTTGGTATGGTTGATATTGTTTTTTGGAACTCTTCAAAAACAATTCCCTGCCGATTGCTAGAATGTACCTGTGTTTGGGAAGAACCTAATGTAATCATACATAATATCTAACCATAAATATGTATGATATACGATTAATACAACTAAATCATTTGACAATAATATTCGAACCATAATATTTGTGTACAGGATATGTAGATTCACAATTAATGTATATCACTAAATTGTAGCTGATTTACCGTTTGTGATGTTACTCAATGGTGTGATATTTTGAGTCAAACACCCTCCAATTGAAGATCGTGTTCGATGAATTGGCGTAGGTTGCTTTGTATTCTGGGAATCATTATTTATTGTTGGTGAACTCAAGCAAGCATTTTCTGTGAAATAGAATAAAAAATTTTAAAAACACAAATTATGACATTCTTATAAATTCAGAGCACATAACCTAATAAAATTAAATATTGTACCACAGAAATTTGTAATTGCTATAAATAAGGTTAAAATTAGAAGACAAATTATTTGTTGTTCCATCGACTTAGTGAATTTTTGTACTAAGAAGAACATTAAAATTACTAATAAAATAACATAGGTAGAAATCTTATAAATTAAGTACACATAAAATCATTAGTTATATTAGGCTATTAAATGAATTTGTAATTGTTATAAAGAAGGATAACATTCCAGTGGACAAATTATTTGTTAGACCATGTACAACAAAATTTTATGGACCCTAAATAACATTTTAATTAACCATTACACAACAAAAATTGAAATGTTATCAATTAATTACACATCACATAATTAATTTGAATATTTGAGAACATAAATTTATAATTGGTAATCATAAGGCAAAAATTATAAGACAATTTTTGTAGTGGACCATTGAAGACAAAGTTGTGTGGACAATGAGTAACATTATCATAAAAAATAAAAGATCATATTTAAAAATGTTTTCAATTAAGTACACATAACGCCGTTATAATTTTAGTAATGTACAAATTAATTTTGTAATTTGTGTCACTAAGGCCAACATTAAAAGGCAAATTTCATGGTGGAACATGGACCAAAAAGTGTTGTGTACCCTGGACCACAATTTAGTGTGAACCAAGGATAAAATCATAATTAAATATGATATAACAAAAATATAAATCTTATAAATTAAATACACATAACATAATTCATTTTAATATTTTAGAACATAGATTTGTAATTGGTATAAAACAGCCTAACATTATAAAATAAATTGCTGAACATTACAATATTTATTTAAAATAAATAAATAAATAAATAAATATATATATATATATATATATATATATATATATATATATATATATATATATATATATTGTTTATTTCTTTTGGTTTAATACATAAGAGATGAGGAGGAAGCGTTGACAGCCTTCTCCTCTCTCTGTCCGAACAGATCTGAGAGCTTGAAGCTCTCTTCAATACTGCCACGATCTCTCTCTCAAGCCTATGCCTACATCATTTTACTATCCTTCTTTTGCCTTCATCTCTTCACGGCCAAACAATTTTGAGATTTATTATAAAATCGCGTCTAGATCGCGATACTCCGTTTATGCCTACATCGTCTGAAATCTGTCATTTCTGGCCACGATCTGTGCTTTCAAGCTCGTTTTGAGCTTGAAATCTAGATGTATTGAAGCTACTGATCTCATTCAAGGTTAGAATCAAACTTTTATTTTCTCAATTTCATTTAGGGTTTTTTCGTATTGACTGTTTTCATTTACAAAATCTTAGATTCTAGTCGACTTGATGTTGTTAGTTTCTTAATAATATGCATGCACATCGATCTTGTTTAATAAACTTCTATGATTTCTGCAAATTTCATTCCAAAATTGTATGATTCATATAAGCTATAGTTATAAGTTGATTCCGTTTTACTGTTAATCTATAGACCTATGACTATTTTGTATGTATAATGTTAGAATTTCGTTTTGTAAAAGATGTAATTGTACTATTAAACAAACAATTTTGTTAACTTGTTCAATTTGTTTGTCATGTAAATTGAGAGGACAATACTTTGGAGCACTGAGAGGCAATGTGTAGCAGATACAAAATAGCCTAGCAGACTGTGGAATTCATTGAAGCGTGATTTGCAACTTTAAAACAGATAAGTTTCGAAATTACCTTTGTTTTCTTCATGTGGTTTCCTTTTGATGCCTAGAATAGTTGACTTTGTAATTTGCCTCATTTGCTTGTCTATTCTTTCTTGCTAAAACAGAAGCTTTGAATTATTTGTTTTGTCTGAGCTATGAAATTGACTGACTGTTTTTCGGATTAATGAATTGAAAAAAATAGTCGTAAGTACATAGGGTCATTTTTTAGTATTTAACTGTTTTGATTTTTTGAGATCCGCACTTGAAATGAAGGGTTTTTTATTCTATATAATGATAGTTGTCATCACTTGTATTTAATATCCAAATCATTGTATTTTTCAATAACAATGAGTAACTGTTAGTTTCACACACTGTAATTGTTGTATTAATTAGTTCGTTTTAACTGGCTAGCAAAATAATTTGTTCCAATTATTAACAGAAGCCGTAATGTGTTTCTTCCATTTGTTTATATAGGGCAAAAAATGATGACTTTGAGGAATTGGAGAGCAGACCATAATCCCAAAGCGAGCATGTAGACGACAAAGAATGCATCTCTTTCATCTGAGAGATTATGTTACCATTTTACACTTGATTTTGTGTATTTTGAATCGTTTTTATGCCTATAATGGTATATTTTGTAATTTTGGTCATTGCACTCATTAAACCAATAGTTAGACAAACTTTCATTTAATTTTACCTTTTTTCTGTGCTTTAGATTATACAAAATCTGTCTTGATTTTGCATTTTGGAATTAAAAATATCCTTGGTTTCAGTTACTTTAGTCATCATAGATTAATTTTCTGCCTTTGATTCTGGAGATTTCCAGTATTTGTTCTTTTTTATTCACTTTATAAAACTGTGCTAAGCAATTTTAAGTAATTTGTTTGGAATGCAAGGTTTTATACTAGGTATATGTATTTCTTCAATATAAAGAATTCTTTTGCATTGGTAGATAAATTAAACTCTTATGCTTAATATGTTTTTTTTTAAAGATTATTCTATCTTTAATAACTAATGTTATCAAGTTAATGTTACAAATCTTCTAAAACCTGGTAACTTTTTACTGAAATATAGTTTTAATATACTTTAAATTACTTTATGTTAAGAAATTGTTTTTATACTTAAGTATTTGGACTTAATTAGACTTCGTTTTGATTTTTTGGTTGACAACTTGAACTTTCAATGTTGCATAGATTGTTACATGCTGGAGCTTTAAGTAAGCCTTATGAAGTAAGGCTGAATATAGTGATTTAGATAGATATATTTCCAAATACTGAAGTAAGAAATAATGAGTTTTAATACTTATATAAAACTATGGGCTTTTATATTTACACAGGAAAACCAGCAGGGAAAGTATTTGCAGTGGAGAGACAGCTTTTGGGGGGTTTAACAGATCGTTAAGGTACAATTACTAACTTTATAAATATTAATTCTAAGTGATATAGTTGAAATTCTAGTCCTATATGTCTTGCATGAACTTAAATGTATTGCTTTCATGGTTAAGTAAAAATAGTAGTAACAGTTACTCAGGAGATGTGTTATTTTGGCAATTTTTGTTTTTTTTTGAAATGTTTGTATTACTTTCATGTTATAGAATAGTAGAAGTATACTATTTAACCTATTACACTTTACAAAACAAAATACTGCTCAGTGATTGACAAAACTTGTCCCAGATCCCTTCATTCTAATGCCTTGTTACTTGATCATTCTTGTTTAAAACCAACCTGGAAAAAAAAGTAAGAAAAGAGGCAGTTTAGGTGATTGATTTTTTCCAATATGTAATTGTTCTTTAACACTGTTAGTAGTTTCATGTTACAAAAACCTAGAAGTAGTTATGTTTTAGGGTCTTACACTTTGTTCCGATACTTGTCACATAGTTGTTCCCTGATCATACTTTTTTGGAAAATCACCTGAAATGAAACTGAAGAAAACTGCAAGACATGTTCTAATACCATAGGTTAATTTAACATTATCAAAATACAGTTATAAAATAAAAAAATAAAAAAAAAAGGATTTCAACCTTAGAAAACCAAAGAAACAAAATCCGTTAAATTAGTAGGACAACCCATTAAAAATCCAACAGGAAAACATCACAAAAACATTTTTTAAAAATTGTCTATATGCCAAGCACAGTAGCAAATGTCTAGAGAACAGTAACATGCATTTTCAGTAGCAGATCATTCAAGCAGTCTTCTCCTTCTTGATGTTGGATGGTGTTGCTTTCTTGCGACTTTTGGATGAGGAAAACTCATCCAAAAGTAACCTTTTAGTAGTTAAGGAGTTGACCGTAGTGTCATCCAGTTCATGTTGAGAGGGCTGCACAGAAGCAGGACTATTGACCTCTACTCCTATAGATGCTTCCTGTATATAACACAATGGATGAGTCAGTTTTAGCAATAGGTAATAAAAAATGAAAAACCTAGTAAGAGGTTTAGTAAGAAATTCTTACTTCATAATTTGCAGGACTGTTTGTTTCCTCCTCAAGCATCTTTGATATTAAATCCTGCTCTTGGTGCTCGACAAACCTGTCACTATAGGTCTGGAGAAAATGTTCGTCCCTTAACAGCCTCAACACATTGAAAGGAGAATTATTACCCCGCTTTAGAGCCAGTTTTAACCCTACTTTAAACAACATCTTCATTCCCACAATAGCATCCAACTCAGGGGGTACTTCAACATGAACCTGTCATTTGAGTTTGCATTAGTACATTACATTAGACCATCTACATCTAAACCATAAGTTAATTTTAGGGAAAATAAAATTATCTCCTTGTATTTCTGATACAAAAGACAAGCAGGGATTCCAACCAGCTCAACCACTTCTCTGTCCCAAAGCAATAGTGGAGCATCTCCACTCTTGTCTAAAGCCATGATAACCACCTTATACCTGACTGTACCCTGAGTATATGGCTTATGACACTTAGTACTCCTCCGTTTTCTTTAAGTTTCTTATTACAACCGGCTGACATGCATGATACATAGTACCACCCATCATCAAGATCTAAACCCAAGATCTCAGCAGCAACATAGTATTCCACATCCTATAGTATACAAATAAAAAAATTAATGTATAAAACAAACATAGGAACTCAGATATAAGATAAGTAAACATTGCGAGTAGTTTCTGTTTCTTACCACTTGTGTCTTCTTAAGGTCGTAGCAGGTAGTCACAATGAGTCCAACAATTTTAAAGTCACTAATGCCCGCTGACTGTGAGTGTAGAGTGCCCGTACTCAAACTTTTCATGTGAGTATTTTCAGATTTCATGCTTCATAATAAGGTTTAAACAAAAACAGTGGTTAGCAATTTGTATACTCAATTGGTTTTTCCAGAAAATTGGCATGTGAACAAAGTTTATAGAAGTATGCCAATACTTGACTAAATTAATAGAATGATTGATTCTAAACTGCCTATTTGCCTAAAAAGCATGCAATGTGTGTGAGTTAATTGCCTATTTGCCTTTTATACTAACTTTTTTTTCCAGAAAATTGGCATGTGATGAAAAAATAATCTCATGCCCATACTTTACTGAAATAATAATCACAAGTAAAATTGTTGTGGCATGTGATTAAAGTTTAATCTGATGCCCACACTTGTATATTTCCCTAACCTATCTGTTAATAACCTATGATGTAAATACTTGACTAAATTCATCGAATGATTTATTCTAAACTACCTATTTGTGTAAAAAGCATGCAGTGTGTGTGAGTTAATTATCTATTTGCCTTTTATACTAACTTTTTTTTCCCAGAAAATAGGCATGTGATGAAATTATAATCTGATGCCCATACTTTATTGAAATAATAATCATAAGCTTATTTTTTTTTGGCATGTGACTAAATTTTAATTTGATGCCCACAATTGTGTATGTCCCTAACATATCTGTTAGTAACCTATGATGCCAATACTTGACTAAATGCACTTTAAATATCTTCTAAAGTGCCTAATTTTTTTAATCTGACTTAGTGCTTAGTGCTTCTAGGAATTACAGTATTACATTATATAAGATGTGATGCAATATTTAACTTGACTTGAACTGTATGCATTCTAGGAATACCTCATTAGGTGTACTTAAATTCAACATTATGTACTAAAATTAAGTGTACTTACTTCGACTTGAACTCTAGGAATTCCTCAAAATCCTCATTGAACCATAGCTTTGTAGCATCATATGAGCTGGTGATTCTAACCTCACCTAAAAAAAATAAAACCTACATATTAGTTGACTGGAATGAGTAATAAGCTGCTAGAATGTGCAGGAAGAGAGAAACTCACCACTAACCAACTTAGCACGACAGCACTGAATCACTACAATAAGTGGTTCTTTTGAATCACTATTGTAATACGGCATCAGTGAAGCAACGTGTTCATTCCATAGGGTACATGTCAGAGTGTTCTCACTGCCATGACATTAGTAGAAACCAAAAACAATTGCTGTCAGTATAGGCTAAATACTGATCGAAAAAAACACAAAAAAAAAATAATAATAACTGTGAGTAGTAAAAACACAAGAAAAATTAGTACTTACGCATTATCTTCAATTTGAAAATCAATCAGTTTGGTTACCTTTCCACCTATAATCTTATCCACAGGATTATAGATCCCAATGACACGACCAATAACATCTGCCAAATGAAAAATTTTTCAGTAAGATGTTAGCAGTTCAGCTTAACATAATATATTAAAAGATGGAGAAATGAAGAGATAGTACCAATAAGTTCCTTGTCGTTCACATCTGCAGTGTCTTTTAAAGAAATGAAACTCTTTAATCGAAACATTTTAAAAGGAAACCCTAAAGAGTTTATCTCCTTCACTTCTGTTCTGTAGTTCAGTTTGATCATATAGGCATGCTGTGTAATCTTGTACACATAATAATTTGTCGCAGCCATGAAATTTTTTATTTCGAACAGTTTTCCCTCCTTGAATATTTCTCTATATTTCACCACATCTTTTTTTTGAATGGTAGCATGAATATAGCTTCCCTGAAAAAAACAAAAACAGAAATTACTCAAATATGAAATAGGATTAGATTAGTAGGTAACAGTGACATGATGCATTAAAAATAGATACCATTACCTCTTCATCATGCAGTAACACTTCCATATTCTTACTGCTGTGACCCTCTCCCCTTTTCTTTGGAACTTCGAATACCCTTACTGCTCTAACGCGAACTGCCCTAAGCTGGTGTTGAGGTTTGATGTCCTTCACAAGTATGAACATTGACGGCATTGTGTTCAACAAAATGATATTTCAAAGGCGCTGTAAGCAAACAGATTTTCGGAAGGAATACTTTGCATAAATAAGCCGATTATTTATAGACTTCGAAGCGTTGGATATTTCAAATGAATGATCAGCAGCCTGTGTATGGGAAATACACAATTTCTTGTTATGTATTAATTGCAGAGTAAAACTCTGCGTCTTCTATGTATATATTTTTATTTTTTTTAGGATGTGAGCATCTGTTTATTCAATCGTTGGTTATCCGATGATGCTAATGATGTTGTTTAAAGTATCAAGACTTCTACATTAAATGTATTGCTTGAGACGAAAGGACTGTAGGGTTTACAAATTATAATCGCTTTAGAATACGAAGAGTTGTCTAAAACAAAACGGCTAGGAAGATTCCCAATGTGTAATTACATTAGTCACGCGTACAAATTCAAAGAACCGGTTATTCTCTCATGTATGTGTTTGCAAAACGGCATAGTACGCAATGGGCGGGAAACAATGATTGCAAAAAAAATGCACAACGGCGTTTTATCCAATGGGCGGGAAAAAATGATTGGCAAAAACTTCTTGCTTTATTATAGAGTTAGATATTAACTTTAATTTGTACTATAAATTCATTAGATATTAGTTAATTTTCATATAAAATTTTGTTACCAATTAAGCTTTATTAATTTTTTTTACCAATTAATTAATATTCATATTAATTTGGGCAGGAATGTTGAAGATGAGGATTTTACTTTTATTAATAGTACAAATTGGTGTAAATAATAATTAATAAATTATTATTTCTTTATAAAATTACGCATAATTTTAAACAAATTTTCTCATTTGTTACGCATAATTTATATCCATTATTTTCACAATTATAATAATTTAATTATTATCAGAATTTGGTAACCATTTTCCATTTTTATGTACATATTGACTTTAATTTGTGGTAACAATTCATTAGATATTAGTTAATTTTCATATAAAATTTTGTAACAAAATTAAGCTTTATTAGGACTATGTGGTCTAATGGTACCCGGGTTGGACTTCCATTTGGAAGATTATGAGTTCGAGCTTCAGTGGAGGCGTTATTGGTTCTTTGTGTTTCAGTAGGTTGAGAAAGTATGTGAACAGATACTACAATGTAATAGAAAAAAAAGTAATTAATTAATATTTATATTAATTTGAGCTGGAATGTTGTAAAGGAGGATTTTACTTTTATTAAAGTCATTTCACTAAGGAAATTAAAAATAATTAAAGTAAAACTAATCATGCTATATTTATTTGTAACTGTATATTAATTTCATTTTGAAATCATTGGTTCACATATTTGAATTATTTATTTTTCTTTAATTATTCTCGTTGTAAACATAAATGATATTGAAATAATTAATTCTTGATATTTATCAAATTGTATTTTTTAAAATATAAAATTTTCTCATGTTTAGGGATTAAAAAATATTTTAAAATGATTTTTTATTAGTAAGTATTTTTATTTTTAAAATATTTTCCAACAACTCAAACACTCCCTTAGTCTCTAATAAAAGCCTGAAAAATAAAAGTCATTTCATTAAGAAAATTAAAACTAATTAAAGTAAATCTAATCATGCTATATTTATTTGTAACTGTATATTAATTTCATTTTGAAATCATCGGTTCACATCTTTGAAATATTTATTTTTTTCTTTAACTATTATAAACAAAAATAATGATATTTATGAAATTGTAGTTTAAAGTATATATATACATATATATATATATGTGTGTGTGTGTGTGTGTGTGTGTGTGTGTGTGTGTGTGTGTGTGTGTGTGTGTGTGTGTATATATATATATATATATATATATATATATATATATATATATATATATATATATATATATATATATATATATATATATATATATATATATATATATATATATATATATATAACATTTACACATGGTATGAGGGGTTAAAAAATATTTTAAAATTATTTTTTATTAGTATGTGTTTTTATTTTAAAATATTTTCCAGCAATCCAAACACTCCCTTAGCCGCCCATAAAAAAACTGATAAAGAAAAGTCATTTCATTAAGGAAATTAAAACTAATTAAAGTAAATCTAATCATGCTATATTTATGTGTAACTGTATATTAATTTCATTTTGAAATCACTGATTCACATATTTGAATTTGTTTTAGTTATTATAATTTATAAACAGAAATGATATTGTACTAATTAATTTATGATATTTATCAAATTGTATTTTTTTAAAAAAAAAAATATAAGAGTTACACTTGTTATGAGGGGTTAAAAATTATTTTAAAATTATTTTTTATTAGTAAGTATTTAAAAAAAAAAAATTCCAGCAACTCAAACACTCATTTAGTCTTCCATAAAAAACTAATAAAGAAAAGTTATATCATTAAGGGAATTAAAACTAAATAAAGTAAATGTAATCATACTATATTTATTTGTAACCGTATATTAATTTCATTTTGAAATCATTGGTTCACATATTTGAATTATTTATTTTTTTATTTAATTATTATGAACATAAATGATAGTGTACTAATTAATTTATGATATTTATCAAATTCTATTTTTTTAAAATATAGTGTTTTACCATTTTCAAAAAAAAAAAATATAGTGTTTTACCCATTAAATGTTTTTGTTATTATGAATTTAAAATTAAAATAGAAAAAATAAAAACATGTTAAAATGTACAATATAATAATATAGTTGGACTTTTATATATTTGGTCAAGTATCTATTTTCATAACATAAAAAATTTAAATTTAAATTTTGTATGGTTAATATAATCTCTAATCATGTACATATTTAGATAAATTTATAGCAAAAATTCATATAATTAAGTTGATTTATTCCAAATTGTATTTCATATATTTTATAATTCTAAAAATATGAATAATAATAACTAAGAGAATCGTACTTAGAAATCAATAAAAATATAAATTCTAAATTTTGTATGAATAAATATGAACTCTAATCGGATGCATATCCTTATATGATTGTATAATACATTGTATATACACATAATATTTATTAATATGTATACAGGAAAATTCTATAATATAATTTCATTAATTATAATTTGTATCGATAGATTTATATTTTTAAAAATATATATTTTGAAATTTAAAAAGTGTATGTAGGTATATTTAAAAAAATTATAAATATTCATGTTTTGTTAATTTTGTAATTTCATTTCTTTAATTATATTTCATATTTTATTAATTATAATTTAATGAAATTGTCACAAATATTTCTACGCAAGAAATCTTATATTTCTTAATTTTATTAATTATATTAATTATAATTACCAAATATTGTGACAATTACTATAATAATTTCATTAATTATATTAATTATAACATTTGTTCTCTTCCAATATTTAAATAAATTACCATAAAATTACCATAATAATTATACAAAAGAATGAAAGAAATATTATGAGAATAATTAGCTTTAGTAAAAATTAAGAAATAATATTAAAAATAATCTATATAATAAGGTAAGTATAATTTATTTTGTGCCAATAATATTATATATTAAGTATAAAAAATATATATGTATATAAATTATCATAATAATTACACAAAGACACAAATATATACGAAAGAAATCTTATTGCTATAGAATTAACATTGTTTATGGTGAAAAGGCACAAACATAGTACGGAATAAATTAGGAAGAATTTTATGGTAAAAAGGCACAAATAAAATTAGTACCGAAAAAAGGCACTGTAATTTTGCATTTTCTCTTTTTTGATAAATTAACAAGATTAGAGAACTGTCCGAGATTAATGATTGATTCAGTTACGAAGATAGTCAGTGATAATCAATCATGTAGAGGATGTAAGAGAAGATAACAGCACAAACTCAACGACACAGAATAGGGGTGTAAACGAGCCGAGCCGAGCCCGAGTTCGTGAACTGATGCTCGAGCTCGAACTCGAGTTTAGGCTCGAATTTGAGCTCAATTTTGATCTGGAATTTGACCTGTTTGATTTAAAATTTAAACTACTTTGTTTTATGACTTTTATCCATACATAATTATTAAAGTATTTTAATTACCATCCCCTAATTATTATTTTTATATACTAAATATAATACAATTATATTATATATTATATATTATATAATATATTATAAGGCTCGCGAGCGGCTCGTCGAGCCACGAGCCTACAATACCTAAGCTCGGCTCGTGCTCGTTTAACCCACGAGCTGCTCGAGCTCGAGCCGAGCTCGATTTTGACCGAGTTCGAGCTGAGCGTTGACCGAACTGCTCACGAGCGACTCGCGAGCGGCTCGGCTCATTTACACCCCTAACACAGAATATTTACCCAGTTCGATACAGTGTGTATCTACGTCTGGGGGACGATCACATAGGCGTCCAATCCATTAAATCATAATCCAATGTACAAAGGTAGATATACGATAATCTTACCCAAGTGCCCCACACAAGGTACAAACCCAGTCTACACAGGTTTAGTGGATTGTTGAAGATGGAGAGCCATGCATACAGAAGTCCAATGAAATCCCTTCACTTGGAGAGCCCACTCTGATGCAGTCCACTTCAATGACGCTCTTTAAGGTTGTTCCCACAACAGTGTGATCACAGTGTCCTTTCGTTTAATCAGCAGTGATCCTTCTCAAGTTCATCATCTTAATCACCATGAACATATTGTATTGAGAAGATGCATGACAATCAAAGATCTAATCTCATATAGCATATGGGGAGTGTTTCTTCATACTTTCGGCATAACCCTAATTCTTTTCGAGTAAGGGTACTTATAGATTCTTCAATAAACACTCTCCATAAACGACTTTGATTGTAGAAGGTAGGACTATAAAAGAGGAATGTAATCTCAGATGATTTGGTCCATACCTTTCTTGAAAATATACGCTGATATTCTTTCCAAACTTGTCTGATAATACCGCGTAAGACTTTTAGAAGACAGCTTCCTAAATCAGATCTTCAGTGTCAGTCCTTCTGTTGTTGCTTC